TTGATCCAATCGCCGATCAAACTCTCCATTAATTTTATCAGATGCCCACTAATAAGATTGGACTTCACACACAAAACAGGCGAGTGGCGACGTACACTATAACGTCCCACCGCACAGCTGAGCAGTCGTTGTCGACCTGAGAGAGAGGCAGCTCTAATCTGAAGAGTGGCAATACAGGGTATAGCTAGTCTAGGTCGATCAAAGATCCAGATTACTATCCTGATGGACGAATAGTTCTGTGGATTTTTATTCGCAGCGATACGTTTTGACCAGCTCCGGTGTTCATATCACCCGTCGTAATCGCTATACACAAATGTACCGGTGCGCCTTGCGGCGCTCCGTAATGGTTGTCTAGTTTATAGATATGTTTAGTTTTACTGTCGGGTCACTCATTACTGATCCGCGAGCTGCATGATACTGGCATAATAGATTGCCCGATCGGGCAACCAGCAGGTGAGGCTTCATGGCCCGAGCTAAATACTAGATGACCCCGGGCCATCGGGCAGTCCTTAATGTCGAGCCCTGCATACATACATACATACATACATACATACATATCTATCAATACTCCAATTAGTAGTATATGGACTATTCTGCACTATTTCTATTATATTCTCATTTGTTTTATTTACTTGCACTATTATTGGATGTATTGTGTTGCACTGTTGGAGGAGCCTGTGAGCTAAGAATGTCCTCGTCATAACTACACTGTACAGTAGCTGTGAACACATGACAATTAAAGCCTTGAACCTTGAAGGTCCTCTTTCTCATTTGACAACAGATGCAACAACCAGTGCGTGAATACAACCAAGTACACTTTACTCCAGTACTGTACTTTGAGGTACTTGTAGTTTCCCCGAGTGTTCATGGCTCTTTCTACATTTCAGAGGGAATATAAAGTATGTTTTACTCTACTGCATTAATCTGACAGCTTGAGTTTCTTGGCCAGTTTAGAGTTTCAACACAAAATAATGCATAAAATACGTTGGTTTCTTATAAGTTGAGCGACCCAGCAATGTGTATGCGCCTACAAGTAATATAAATAATTAGATGCTTAATCAAATTTGCTTATTGACAGAATTTCTTTCATTTTTTTCCCCAGCATCTCAATGTGAAGACTTTTTCTGCATCTAGTATTTTCACTTTTGTAACACTTTGAGATAATTTTCTTTTTTCTTATACTTTAAATACATTTTCAATGCAGGACTTTTTTACTTGTAACAGACGGTTTTAAGCATTAGTCAAGTGAATCTGAATACTTTAACAACCACAAATGTTTGAGAGAATCTAAAACACGTCTACTCTTTTATTTGTTGGTTCCAGTGCCTACACAGTACAAAACTGCCCTCTAGCACAAAGGCCTTGACATATGACATGTTTAGTTCTGAGTATTTATACCAGGTGTTTTCACTAATAACACACTTCCTTTCTGACATCAGCATTTATGGCTGCCATGAATAAACCACATGAAGTTGGGCTACGCAGGGTTAGCATGCACTCACTCGTACCCTCTGTCTAGGTTGAGGATGGCCTGCACCAGCGTGTCCTCTCCGCTCTCGGGCAGCGACCGGGGGGCCGGGTAGAGGCCTTGGTTTCGTGCGCTGTGGGGTTGTGGTGCACGGGCGCTGAGGGAATAAACACACATATGAGAGGTCAGCTGCATACTGTGCAACATGGCATGCCTGAGAGGAAGATAAGGCAGAGTTTTGTTTTGTAAATATTGCAACAAAAGCAGTTTACCCAAACTCCAGAGGCCTTCCTGGGAGGGGCTCTTCCCTGGGAACTCTGTAAGGATACTCCTCCTATACAATACGAAACAAAAAGCCCTTAATTGTGAGTGTGCATATAAAACCATCAATATTAGAACAGCTAGGTAGTTGCAATATGTCTGCAGCAATTGTAAGACTGTTAGTGTAAATTCATATGTACAGTAAGTAACTCTGGTACAAATATTAGTATCAATAGTAATCTTAATTAAAAGGGTTTATAAAATAACAAAACATTCACAAAAATATCTACGAGTTCGATAACAGGGGCATATGCTAATATTTCTGACTTTCAAAACTGACTTTTTGACCCATATTTGATATTTCTCTGCTATTGAACATTCCGTTTACACATTTATCGTCTCGTTCAAATTAAGCGCATTAAGAAAGTGAAATGCTCCTTCTCAGTTGTGGAAGTTTCTTTCTATTCAATTATGTTCATAGGTAAGAAGAAAAAAACACATTAATAGTACAGGGTACATGCAGGAATCCTGAAGTCAAATGTAAAACCTTTTAAGACCTTTTTTAAGACCCTTTCCGTAAATTTTAAGACCTCATCGCCACTTTGAGTTCTAACCGGTTACCTTGGCGACACACTTTACCTCACATTGACTATATACAGTATTGATTGTCCTTCCTCCTTATCTTCCAACCATTTGGACGCTAACTTGCATTTCCCCATAACGATGTTGCTTAACAACCGGCGTAAACGGACCTTCGCGCGCTATCAAGCAGTGAGCGTGCGATGTCCTGTTCAGATGACGTCAAATCCAACGGGATGCCATAAATAAACTACACAGAATCACACTACACACCTACGCAATGATTACATTCAGGCAGACTGTAGAATCCAACCTCTTTGGACAACTTATATACTTATTGAAAACAAGCTACAAAATGTAACACCTTAGAAAATGCCGTTTAATACTTTTTAATAACCTTCATTTTCGCTAAATTGATTTATCAACTTTGAATACTTTTTAAGACCCCGCGGACACCCTGATGTTCTCACCCTCCTTGCAGGCGGCGGAACAGCTCTCCGCTCTGCAGGGAAGTGGATGTTGTCTCCGTGGTAGGCCCTCTGATCTTCATGATAATTTCGTGGCGCTCCTTCGTTCGGGAAGTAGCGTGGTCCTGCTTCATATTCGTACCCGCCGCGGCCATAATCTTCCTCCGGCCTGCCAAAGGGGACCCTCCTCTCCATCGGCCCAGCAGGACGCGGGTACGCACCCTAAAAGGATGGGTATATGTTGAGAATTGAAGTTAAACTTAAAAGAGAGGTTAGAAATGGCTATTCAATTATTCTGACCTGAGCTCCTCCGGCAATGCAACATATATAATAAAATACAAAACTACAAAATAAAAAGTGTCAATAGAATATGATATGTACAAGAACAGAATATGACATTAAATAATGTAAATTAAGACAAAATTAAAAATACGGTTTATTGCGGTGATAACTATTTATATAAATTAGTATATTGCAAGATGAAAACAGGAATGTTTATCGAGGCACTTCACAGAGCTCAGGTGTTTAGCAGTCTTATGGCCTGTGGGATAAAACTGTCCCTGAGGCTGGTGGTTTTTGTGCGGATGCTGCGGTACCGCCCTGCTGCTGACTTAGATTAAAAAAAGAGAAGAGAAGAGACAATAGGCAGAAGTCACTTTGTCCACACTCACCGGTCTCTCTGTTAAAAAGCGCTCATCGTACACGTCTCGTATGTTCCGCTCTCTCCTGTACGCCACTGCAAGAGGAAAACAATGTAAGAAACCGTATGTTCGAACATGCAATCGTGCAAGGGTAATTCCTCAAAATAAATGTAAACAAGGTCCTGTAGTCATTGATACAATATAACTGCTTATGTGTACTATAAATGTATTTGTAGTTTACGCTTGTCGCCTTTTTATTTTTTAATGCAAGTCCACTTATTTTCCTTCTGCCTTTTAACTGCACTTCACCTTTGCTGCTGTAACTCTGTACTTGTTCCCCAGTTTCATTATGTCGATAAATGTTGGTTTTGCCAAGTGCATGATGCAACACGAAGAAAGGTCTTGCATAAACAAATATATACACATAAGGCTCTGAAGTGTGTCCCAGTTCTTGCATGTGCCACATATTGTGTTTTGTAATGTGATCTCTATCAAAGCAAGGCAGTAGTTGCGTTTATCTTGTTAAAAAATAAATGAGAACTTACTTTTGGACCTCCGTTAGTCGCAGTGATGTACCGATCTTCAACACAATCTGTAAAAATATTTAGTAAATAGTGTTAGATTAAACACTTTGAGTTTTCAACTGTTGAGCGTATATAAAGAACACATAATAAGAAGGGGGAAACACGTTGTAATTGCATGGTTTGACAACTAGATGTCATCACATAAGATATACTTTATTGATCCCATACGTTTTCGTTCCACTATTTAGGTAAACACTCTTCATTACAGAACATGAAGCGGTCCTTTAAAAGGAATGTAGAAAGAAAAAAACGTTGTAGGTTGCATGTTTCCTTAAATAAGATAAGAAGCACGGTTTGACAAGTAGATGTCATCACATAACATTACATCAGTTATTGAGCTGGCTGAGAGTATTGTCTGCAGATTAACACAAAAGTAAACACAACACTAGCTTCACACCTAGACTATTAAATACAAAAACCCCTGCATGCTCTGTAATGTCAACACACTGCTTAATACTGTAGTTCCACGTACATCAAAATACTAGCAATGCTAACGTTAGCCCTCATACGTGTTGAAAGCATTCACACGTTCAATTGTATGGGATTTTCAATAGATATTAAAACCAAATACTAATTCACGCCAAAACCTTGCATCTCAGAGATGATTACGTTTTAAACAACGCACAGGAAAGGGCATTGATTCCAGTAAAAAAGAGGCAAACAATCGTACCTTTCTCTCTATCGTTTGGTTAGCTTAGCATTTCACGGTAGCTAGTAGCTAGCTACATGGACAGGCGGCTACTTTATTGGAAGAGGGAGGTGCATACGTCATCAATTGGGGACGTTCAGTCAATCTGTTTGTTTCTCTTCAAAATCTTATTATACATCCATGTTCAAAATGAGGAGATAATGGAAATTGATAAAATACAAATTATACTTTATTGATCTCAAATTGGGCTTTTTTTCTTTCGTTACAGAAGCATAAAAAACAAGTCATGGCATAAAGCTAAACATTTAAAAGAGTAGAAATTACAAGATATCACTATCTACAAATCTGTAAACTATCTGACAAATAAAACACTATTTAGGGCCAATTTACAGCAAACAAATCCGTGTACCATTAAGTGTGCAAGGAAGGGCATAGCCTATAATTGCATATACGTGTACAGTGTGAAGTTATTAAGTCAAGTTAACAAAAGAGTAATCTGAGTTTTTTTATTTAAATTGAATTTAACTGTACTGTGTAATATTAGATTAACCTGTACTTTAATCTGTTTTATAATTGCTTGAGTGATAGAGATTACGCAATGTTTTAAGTGTTTGTTGATTCTGCCTAAAGACTGCAGATGGAAATCAGAAATGAGCTCAAATCTGGCATAAATAATCTCTTCTCTTTTCTGAGACTAATGTATTTTGTATACATGGTCCAAAGTGATATTAGAAATTGAGTCAGGGAGACTATTATATTATTTGACACAAATAAAGTTAATAAAGATCATGTTTTATGTATTTTGTATTTAAATGTTTGTGGTAGATTCAATCCAATACAGTAGGGGGCGCTAATGCTCATGCTAACGCTGGTTGCCACCCGCCATAAAACCGTGAAAAGAAGAAGAAGAAAGCATTTGTTTCTTTTTGCTAAACATTAGCTTCACACTCATTCATATATCATTCGGCTTTTTAAAAAACATTATAGTTGTTATATTGTTTTAATATAGTGGAGGCTGTTTTGGTAAGTTATTTGTATTCCTCTGCTTGCACTTAATTTAAAATGTGAATCGCGACATGAATGGTGGAGTTACTAAACTAGCTAAGAAGCTGGGTGAGCATTATTAATCATGTTTAGATAGATAGATAGACAGACAGATAGATAGATAGATAGACACGACTGTATTTAACTGTATGTTTCAGCTACTGTAATATAATATATATACTATATGTCTATATTTCTGTTGCTGTAGTATATTGGCCTCTCATATCTAGAACATTTTATAGTGAGTATTCTTTGTAGTGCATGTCCTTTTTTTTTTAAAACTGTAGATATGTATATAATATACTTGTTTTTTATTGTTAAGTTTTACCTACCTACCTACCTACCTACCTATCTACCTACCTATCTACCTATCTAAAGATAAACATTACCTTCTCATAAAAAAAAATGTATCAGTAAAAAAAACTATACTCATAGCAGTATCTTAACATTATAAAACATACAGAATAAATAAGAAAACTCCCCTCTAATATACCAATCTACTAAATATATAAACATAGTATACTATATGTTGAACAGTAGCTTGAAATTAAGAGTGATAGATAGATACAGTAGATAGGTTGATAGATTGATTGATAGATAGATACAGTAGATAGATAGATAGGTAGATAGATAGATAGTACTTTATTGATCCCAATTTGGGAAATGCGTTGCAGCAGCATAAAAAACTAGAAATAAACAGTCCAAAACATATTTCTGAAATATAAATAAAATAGCATTAAAAATCTAAAAATCTATTATATACATGAGGAAAATATACATGTGGAAATACAAATGTGCAGTTACAAATATAATGCAGGATATTATTGTGATAATAATAAATATATCCTGTGAGGTAGTGTAAGTAGGCTGCAGTATGTAAGTAGGCTGCAGTATGTGCAGATTGTTCATAGAGAGCTAGAACCTGAACTATCTTTGTGATCTTTTCCTCTTCCAGTGTGTTGTATGCGTCCAGTATGAGCGGGGGGTTGGCACCAAGCAGAAGCACTGTGTATGTGTCAAACCTGCCATTCTCTCTCACCAACAATGACCTGCACAAGGTAAGATCCTACACCAGTGTTTCTCAAAGTGGGGGGGCGCGAGGGAACAGGAGGAAAAATGACTGATTCGAAAATAATGTGAGAGAGAGAGAGAGAGAGAGAGAGAGAGAGAGACTTTTTGGTCACGATTAATATAAACAATTATTTCCGAGGCACACGTTTATATGATCATTATAGTTATACACAAAATAAGAGAATAAATGAAAAACAGGTATGAAATACTATATGGCATTAAAAAAAGAATAAAGTTTAAAAGGGTGATTTGTAAAATATCCATAAAGAAAAAGTAAATCTGTTTACAGTTCTGTTTCAAATGGGTGTTGAGAGATGTATCCATAGATCTCTTCATGTTGCTCTCAAAGTGCACCAGATTGATGCATTTAACTTCAATATTTAAAAACAAATCTTCCCTGGGGAGCATGCCCCCGGACCCCCCTATGTGAGGTCCACACACCACCTATAAAAATAGCAACACTCTGCTTACACCTATATGCCGTGAGCTGATTATCGAGCCTTCATTGTAACTGTCGCGGGTACACTGTATAAACCGGTACATTAATGGGAAACCCTAAATGTTTGAGCACCCTCTATGAAACGTCAAGCTACCCCACAGCACCCCCAAAAGAAATCTCTGGCGCCACCACTGAGCCTGCAACCCCATGAAGAAATGTGAAGTGCAAAACAGGCTCATTGCAGCCACTAATGCTGTGATGAGACACACCTTTTTGCCAAATATCAGCATTTTCTTTGCAAAGTGGCAAAGTATTATAACTTATTGTTCTAGCAAAGGGGATTGCACAATTGTATTTATTTTTTTGAAATAATGTTCACGTTCATATTGATGTGTTTTAATAAATGTTAAGTTGGCCCATTACGTGACTATTTGTATTGGGGGGGCCGGACTTTTCTTTTTCTCCAAAGGGGGGGGCCTGACAGAAAAAGTTTGAGAACCACTGTTCTACACAGTGTTAGGAGATAATGTTACGGATGCTTTTGCCTGGCAACAACAGAAATAAGTAAAATACCACCGTGGAATCGAAATGAAAGAAACTTGAATATTGAAACAGATTACTTTGTCTTTTTTCAGCTATTCACCAAATATGGAAAAGTTGTAAAGTAAGTAATGGCTCTGTCGTAATTTTTTTTGCATAATTTTATTTCTTTTTGGTACACATAATGTACACATAATGTGTATAATGTACACATAATGTACATAATGTGTACACCAAAACAACAGTTAACGGCTTTGAATACTCAATTTTCTCTGACCTCTTTTAAATGACTTCTTCAAACCCATTTTATAGACTAGTATTTTTGTATCATTTAAAAAAAATGTATTTACTCATTTACTTCTCCATCATTTGTCTTCTCTCTTCTATGTTTTTCTATTTTTCTGTTTAAATTCGACCTTAATTGAATCTTGCTTTGGGCTTGCCTTACTGCGATGCTTTTTTGTTTTATAAAATTCTGGAGATCCTGCGTTTGTTGTCAAAGCACCTAACAATAACTTAATTTAAATATGCTTTATAAAGTCATTATTATTATACGTTTGGTTAATAACCGCCATGTTTATTCCAGGGTTACAATCGTTAAAGATAAAGAGACTCGCCTGAGTAAAGGGGTGGCGTTCGTTCTGTTCCTGGACAGAGAATCAGCTCATAACTGTGCCAAAGCAGTGAACAACAAACAGGTCAGTCTGTCATGTTCTTATTTTTCAGACATGTATTAGTTGCAGTCAGTGATGTTTTAATGAATAACAGATATAAACTTGATACCCCTATGTTTGTCTCCCAGTTGTTTGGCAGAACAGTGAAAGCGAGCATCGCCGTAGACAATGGACGAGCAACTGAGTTCATAAAAAGACGAAACTACACGGACAAGACTAAATGTTACGAATGTGGGGTCAGTGCATATTTAAATTATTTTATTTCAATTGCTTGTATTCTTTTCTGAATGTGTAGAAAACTATCTTAGAGGATGTTAAGTGATTGTGTGCGCTTTCAAATGAAACATGACAGGATACGGGTCATCTGAGCTACGCATGCCCCAAAAACATCCTGGGAGAAAGGGAAGCTCCGAAGAAGAAAGAGAAGAAAAAGAAGAAAGAGGCAGAGAAACCCGGGCATGTGTACGTATTTTACGGTTGATATTGTCCGATTTTCTTTATGTAAGAGTTTTGTGTTTGTAATTCCTACATATTTTCCATTTAAGTGAGGAAGAAGAAGAAGAAAGTGAAGAAGAGGGAGAGGACCCAACCTTGGACAGTCTGAGCCAAGCCATAGCTTTTCAGGTAAGTGTGCAGGGATAGAAATCAAAATAGATGTCTTGACTTTGAAGGTCCCGTGTCATGGCCATTTCTACTGATCATAATTCCATTGTTGAGGTCTACTAGAATAGATGTACATTGTTCAATGTTCCAAACTCACATTGGTTTCTCATACAGCATCTCTGTATAGTATGTGTATTCACTCTCTGTCCTAAACGGCTTGTTGGAGCTCCTGCCCCTCCCCCCCCTGTGAGCCCACTGTGCTCTGATTGGTCAGCTCACCCACTCTGTTCTGATGAGTCTACCGTTACAGCGGAACATCAGTGATTATGTGTTACCATGGCGTTAGCAACCAGACAATGACATCAGTAATGACAAACAGATGAGGATGCTTCGTGGGGTCTGGGTGCCGTGTTGGCGGGACGTTGCGGGGCTCGCTGCTGCGAGGAGCGGACAGTGTGAGCTGGCTTACTGGTGTCGTTTCCTTGTTGCTGCGTGGGGTCTGCGAGACAGCGAGACAGCCTGGCTGTGAGTTTGTGTCACTATACTCGGGAAGGAAAAAATGGAAAAAGCAAAATGTCCAACGAGGCGTACTGGGGCAGCATAGACTGTGTTAGAGTTGTACTCGCTACAGGGTGTACTTTGAGGGCTTGTGACTCTGCAGACCGTTTACATGCAGAAAAAGCTACATAACAAACACGGGGACGGGTACTAACCAGAAAAGCATCACCTTTAAATGCACCATACACTTGAATTGAATTATTAGCTTTTAGCAGTGTTATATTCCCTTTTTTCCCCATTTGTGTCCTTTCAGCAAGCCAGTATTGAGGCAGAGGAGACGCAGAAGAAGCGGGCGCGTTTGTCTCAAGAAGAAAGTGCTCACGCTTCAACATCCTCAGACTCCAAGAAACCAAGGATCAAAAAGAGCGCGTACTTCAGTGATGAGGAGGAGCTAAGCGACTAACTATAATGATAATATAGTTATAACACAGGGTTTAGACATAAGCCCTATGTTATACATTAAATATTCCTTTATTTTTGTAAGTTGTATTGTATTATATGGGAGGTGCATCCATTACACAGATACACATCCGATTTTCTTTTTACTTCTTGTACATAAAACTCAAACATTGTATTTGTTTTTATATGTCAGTCAATAAAACCTTGCTTCTTAATGACGGGCCAAATTCTTTGTTGTTATTCCGGTGTTAAACAAATAATGAGATACTGATTCCTGAAAGAGGCAGTTTTTTTCTTTTACCGGTGAACTGAGTGGAATTTTGTTCATTCATTTGTATTATGTTTCCCAAAACTGTCCAAATAAGTGTGTCAGATGTTTATTTTGTATCGCTATGTTTCCTGTTGACACACAACCAACAAGGATTCAAATGTAATGAGTCTTTCTGAACTACATGTAGTGATTTAGACGGTGTGTGTTATACTAAATATTGCAACAGCTAAAATGCAGCGGTTAAGGTCTCCTTGCTCTAAAATCTCATCTTGGGGACATTATGGAGATCTAGTTGACATGAAAGGTTCAGGATCCCCAGGCTATGGTGTTTTTCTCAGGCCCATTATAAAACCAGCATGCGTTTGGAAATGTGTCCTTTGATTCCCGTTTACGTCAGCACAGAAATCAGGCGAGGTATTCCCCGGTGTTTAATGCGAATGATCTAAACTACTGCGGAAATCCTGCAGTCAGCGAGTCAAATGAGAACATAGAGGGATGAGAGAGGAATCCCTGTACAGTGAAACGATCTAAACGGTTAACACATGAGCGAGTGCGACTATAGCTTTTGTTGCATTTATGTGCTGCCGGAAATGAAAGATCTCATGACAAGGAGAGTGGATAAAGAGATAACTGCTACAAAGAAAGATGGGATTCTATGTTGAGAAAATAACCATTTATAGCCATTTAATGCATGTGGCATCCTTGTATTTAATATAGCAAATTAAAGCACAATAATATTCTTAATTTTTTTTTAAATAATATGTATTATCTTTTTAAAAGGCATTAACGGATATCAGCCGTTTCAATTTGACTTTTTCCTTAATTTAAGGTGTACATCTTGCTTTATTTTAGAATCAGCTTTCAAACGGCGTCCAAACGAGTCATGTTAGTCATAATAACCCCCATAATATGGATTTTTAACACCCTCGTTACACAGAGGTACGAACCTACAAGCGGGTACATGAACGCGGCATAGATTCATCAAGAGGAATGTCAGCCTCGGGAAGTAACCCTGCCTCTGATTGGCCGGAGCGAATCACGTGACCCTCTCCCAAGCGGAGTTTCCACGACAGCTGGAAGCCGAGCGGCACGGGCGCATCGCTTTCTTTGGTAAAATAATCGGAAATAAAACGACTTGAGCTCGTCTCAGCATCTCCACAGAAACCCCGGTCTGGCATGGGCGACAAGAGGAGTCCCACAAGGTAAAAACCGAGTTAAAACGGGCTAAAAATTCAAGATACGAGAGGGGAGCGGACACGGAAAAAAAATGGGTTTTCTCCACGGTCTCTCTCTCTCTCTCTCTTTTCTCTCTCTGCATGTGTGTGTGTGTGTGCAGATGATTTCCTAAATCCTGAAGGCTTACACAGATGTTTGCTACATTTCGTGCATGCAAGCTGAACTCTCTCTTGTCTCCCACCACCACCACCTGTCTTCGGTTTTTATTTTTATTTTGTGTGTACATTTATTGTTTTTTAAAGGCCGAAGCGTCAACCGAAGCCCTCCTCCGACGAGGGGTTTTGGGACTGCAGCGTGTGCACCTACAAGAATACGGCAGAGGCTTTTAAGTGCATGATGTGTGATGTCAGGAAGGGGACGTCAACAAGGTAAGGATTCATATACATTACCTCTTTTTAAATGGCGGCTTCCCAAGCTGAAGGGGGTGGGGGTCCCCTGGGAGTCAGCCCCCACTAACAGAATGAGGAATAATCTCACTACCACCCCTTTATCCTATTACCAATGTGTGCCTTTGTAAAGGGATACAGTTGACGTTTATTTGACAAATTAAAACCTTATCGTTGTTAGTATTATACAGGTCAGGTAGTAAACAAACATGGTTTAGGCCAGTTCTTTTTATTGTATTTCTCATGTATGTTTTAGGTGATGTATACTAGATACTCTGAAATACGTTATTGTGAAGGCTGCAACTAACAATTATTTTATCTCCATTTAAAATGGTGTTTACAAGAATGCACATGCCAGATCCTAAATGTCAATTTCTTGTCTCATAAGTCCAAAACCAAAAGATATTCAGTTTAATTCGTTATAAAACCGAGAAAAAGCATCACATCTCCATCGTTGATAGGCTAAAAACTGCATTTTTAGACATTCTGGCATTAAGAACTACGAAATAAAAAGTGTGCAGCAACAACGATAATTACAATAATGTCTGTATGTTTTTAAATAACAACTACTTACTCCGTGTTTTCCTTGAACTCTACATGTTCTTTGAGCTGGGGCTTTCCTTTACCAATGAAATTCTTGGTCGCCTTATCCTCAATACAATTTTGTCGAATAATGATTACTTCATTAGATTCAACATATCCGTTTTTGCCATAAAGAATCATGTAAAAACACCACTTTAGAGCATGTGTTCTCCCGTTCTTGGAAATAAGTCAGCATGAAAAATATAAAAAATGATTTAGTCGACGAACACCAAAACAGGGGCAGCCCTACTCTCAACAGTGCATTAGTGTCCATGTTCTTCTCCGGGTGTTCACACACACTGACCTCCATTAAATGAGGGAAATGGATGGCTCACTGCACACACACTTCCACACACTTCCACACATCCATCTTGTTGCCCCGGAGATATTTCTAACAGACGATGAGGGAACACAAACTCACACACAAAGGCACTTCAACATACAAATACACAGCATTTAGACACACACACACACACACACACACACACACACACACACACACACACACACACACACACACACACACACAGTATTCTAGGGCCGCTACTTGTCCTGACTTCAGTGATTTGAGGCAGGAAATGACTGTTATTCCTGAGTGGCTCATCAGGATGAAAATGCAACAAAGGCTGAAGGAGAGGAAGTGTAGCTCTGGGAAACCGTGTGTGTTACATGAGCTCCCTCTTCAATGTATCATCCTGCATTAGCACAACTTTCCCAATCATTTAACTACAACAACATCAGTGCAGTTGTGGGCTTTGATGCTTTTTCATAAGTGGGGTATTTCTCGTGTCAGTGCATGCACTTCTACGCCTCTTTCTGCATACTTGTGTGTGTGTGTATGGGTTAGTTGTGAAAGGAGATTGTGAGAGCAGCTGCCAGACAGACAACCATAGCTCATTACTATGCAACAGCTTAATCAGCCCGCTGTCATCAAAGACACACACGCACGTACAGATGCACTCGACATGCAAATTGTACCCATGACTGCATGCCTATTGGTACACAAACAGGCACATTTCCTAATACGCGCACCCTTGATCGCACTCATAAGTGCACAGTTGCTGCTCGTGCAAACAAAGCGATTTAGCGACACGCATACTGTTATCAAAGGAGTTCAGATTATTGCCGTAGAGCGTTGATTGTTGAGGACACTCCAGGGACTAAAAAAACAACGGCCTGCAGCTTTGCCAAGAACCTGTCTGAATCCTCACGTCACCAAAGCTGCGACACCCTTTGTCTTCCCCATCTGGGTATATTTTTGGGGGGGGAAGTTGGCAAGGACACAAGGACATAGAATTCCACGCTTCACAGCTGACACATTTTTAGAAAAAGCGTCCACGAGGAGGTCATATCTAAATGCTTTCCCAACTGCATTGCTGCGGAAACGTTTGAAGTGTTTGTCTCGTCTTTTCCCAGAAGGCCCTAATCCTGCAGCAAAATGGCCACACAGGTGGTCGCAGCTGTTAATGACCCGAACACAACGGACAAGCGGATTTCACTGCGAGCAAGCCAAAGGTGGTAAAGGGCATAGCACGTGCAGAATATAAATGTAGGACAGGACAAATTCCCTCGCTGGTTACTAAACAAGCATGACTGAGCTATTACTGCGGAGAAATGAATTATTCCTCGACAGGGGCATGGGAGCGTCCGCTGGTGAGACCCGTCGCCTGAAGGTCACAGGTTTGACAGCCAGCGCTGGCTCGGTGGAAGAGAAATGAACTTGTGATAGGACTTTTTCTGACAGGATCAGCAAGTACATTTCAAGGCATTGGCAGAGAGTATTTCAGGAGGGAGAGCATGTAGGTAGCCGTCAGGAGATAAGTGTTTTATGAAGGTGAGGCTGAGCAGATCTCGCTGCCTAAATTCCTCTGATGTGGAGAGATGAGCTACTGCAGGGACTGGAAGCTGGCAGCTGATTGAAAGCAGTGAAGGCAGGGATACATCAGCAGGATTGGACTCGCTTATCGAAAAAAAAAAAAAAAAAAAGGGGAGTGAAATGTAAGAGGGATGGAGATTGGCACTGAAGGAGAACCTGCCGACGTTCCGCTTATTCTGTCAACGGCTCGGAAACTTTTCCAGGGAGTCAAATGTGACGAAACACAAAGTGAGACTTGCTAATATTTTTGTTAGGAAATTCACACCGGCTGCAAATGTGATGCAGTCATTTGTGATTCATTAATATGGAAAAAGATTTTGTTTTTCCTGCATCAAGTGAACAGCTTTTAATTAAAGCCATCTAACTAGGAGCTTTGGAATCACTACATATCATGCAGCTTCATTACCTCGAGACTTTTCCGGAGAAAACGTAGGAGAGACATCTCATCGTTGGACCCCCTTTTTTGAAAAGCAAAACGATAAAGATTAAAGTTCAATGGCGGATAAAGGAGGCTGTTTGATAAGTGCAAGGTCACAAGTTTGGAACACACCCGGCGGCAGAGCGTCCTTCAGCCAGAAGGCCTCCCACTGCACCCATTATAGGCCTTGTACCGGATTAGAGTGTCATCTTAATGTTTAAAGAAAAAGACGAGGCGTGTGTCAGAGTTAATGCTCCCGTCTGGCGTTTTGGAAGAACAGGAACGAGCTGAAAGTGTCACGTGAAGTGGAGCCGACAGACAGTAGTGTTTGGCTGAGGACGGTGTTTAGGTTTTGAGTTTTAACAGCCCGGTGTAATAGAGCGCCGTTTGTGACCTTCTCCCGTGTCTCGCCTGCACGACCTGCACCTGTTCACCCAGCTGAGCCC